CTATCCTACGAACTTGTCAAAATCTGCGTCCACATTCACTGTTTTGATGTTATGCTAATTTTTCCAAAATAATGCACTATACGTACCTCCATGACTAGCACATTTTAGTTTGAATTTATCGCATCTTTTGAAGGTAAAACATTGACAATACTCACAATGAAATGTACTAGTCATGCATATAGTCAGAAATTATGTCATCTTTACTTAGATTAGCGTGCCGCATGGGAAATTTGATTCAACCAATCAGAAGCACTACCCAGATCTGGCTAGTGACGCGTCATAAGTATGGAATGTCTGCGCTCGTTTCTCAGACGTCATTTGGCGGGGAAACCAGTGGTAGCGTTCTCGGGCATGAAGTTTTTTCACCCGAGCGTTCGCTTAACCAACCAAAAGCCAAACGCGTTTGTATTCGTTCGATAAACCAATCAAATCGCTTTATTTCTGTTTGTTGTTTCTGTTTTGTTTGCGCGGTTTCATTTCAAGGTCGTACGAAAATCGCTCTATTTCTATGTTTTACTCAGTTTGGTGGTGGTATCACTGTTTAAATTTTGATTAATGTCGTGGCACAGCTCCTTTAAATTTATAATATTTCGTTAAATTTTCTGTTGATGTTTGGCAAGTTCACGTTTAAACGAGTCTTGTACATTGCTTTATTCGTGATGAAGAAAAAACTTGCTAACTTGGTGCTAAATAGAATTTTCGTTACAGATAAGACCGCAGCGTGCTTTTTTTGGAGGCTATTTAAGGAACAGAGGTCAAATCCTGCTACAGTGTAAGATTGAATGCTGCTCGTCGACAACTGCAACACTCAGATCCCTACCCTGTCACAAGATGTAGTTACTGTGTTTTCCCCAAACGGTAACGGCACTTTTACTCAACGTATGACTTCACACATAAAAAGTAAACTATGCAACGCCCTACTTCCACGAAAGATAGAGCACACCACCAGGAGGGTCCCCAACAGGTTTTTTCGGATCCGAATTTCCCTTATTTGAAGCTTGGGATTAGGGATTTAAGAGCAAAATCAGGCTAGATTCGGGATTGAAAGTATGCGCGCGAGTTAGATTACGGGATTGTACGAAATTTTTGGTCGAGATTACCGGATTGAAGAACCAAGTTGTTCAGGACCCTCCACCAGGACCCATGTCCCCTTCTCTTTTCCAACTTTGTGGGTTTTTTTAACTTCTCTTTCAAAAAAGGAAGAAACTTAATTGGCATCCAATGACTCAATGCATTTATCAATAAGTACTTAACTATAGAAATTAACTTTAAAAATGAACAACGTTTACATGCTTAATTTTTAATTCTTATCTTGAACTTAAAATGAACCTTGGACGGTTGAAACGTCTTACATTTTTAACGTTAATTTTATAGTTAAATCCGTTTAATTGTTGATTCGATAACTATTATTTTATGTTAAGTGGTACTTAAAAAGAGGACGAAGAGAAGCGTGTTCAATGTGGTCGATCAAAGCCCCACCTACGCGAATAATTTGTCTCTTACCAACAATTTTGTTTTTTGCTTTAATTTGCTGCAGTAGACGGCCTTTTCCTTTACGAGTTTCCTGTTCAAAAATTAACGTGCTAGCTTGCGACGAACAGAGACACTCAGAAACTTTTAGAAAAAAACTTGTCAAGTTCACAGCCTGTCTCTGTGCACGACTTGAAGACTCGAAAGTGAGGCTATATACTATGCTACAATAACTAAAAAAATAATATATGGTCACATCAACTGCTCGCCATTTTTTTACCTATCTTTTACCAACAAAGAAATAGCACCGATTCATCGCTTAGGGCAAAAAAGGTTCATCCATTTGCCATGTAGCAGCAAAGTTCATGCTTTTATCAAATCAACCTCCAATTTAAGGTGTATAGACTTTGCTTGCTTGGTGTCAAGAAAAGCTTAATAGAGACCTTAACCCTTCAAGTCCCAATGGCGACCAACATCAATTTTCTCCTAACGATATCCATACATTGTCAAGAGATAAGGTTATGAGAATTATTAAAATTATCACCAAAGAGAAAACGTCTTGATCTTTTATCAAATTCTCTCAACACATTCTTTAATAAAATGTACAGAGATCAGTTTGGAGAATTTGTATGTGTATATTGGGGCTTAAAGGGTTAAGATCGAGGTTTTACGGCATTTCCCGCGAACCGCAAACGCCAAGAAGTCACGTGACTAGTGTCTTGCCGTCATGTTTGCGGTTTGAGGTTCACGTTTGTACGGCTAGATCACGCTCCAGAGGTAAGTGATTTACCGCAAGGTTTTTTGCACTCTAAAACATCACAATCCCACGTTTGAGAGAAAATACTAATTTTTAGAACTCTTTCTCTAATTAATTATTGAACTATTTTTTATAGAAACGTAACTTTGAAGACGATTTCTCAGTTAAAATAGAAGTAAATGAATGAATAAAAACAAACATGGCAGCCGCAAGCTACCCGGCCGTGAATCTTAATTCCTAAATATGTGTAGACGGATAACGTGAAACCGCTAACCGCAAACCGCGGATTGCCGTTTGCGGTAAGATGGCCAAACCTCGATCTTAAGGTCTCAGTTGTAATCTGCGAATAATTTTTTTTTTTGTGACAGCCCCTGGTCCAACACAATGTCAGAGTTGCGAGGAAAGTGATCCGTACACCTGCAGTTATAGCCACAAACCCCAAATGTGCGCGACGAGTTCTCGTTCACTCGGAACAACTCATTGTGGCTCTGCGACAGTTAAATATCGTGACGATCGTGGTGTCTATAATCGCACTTTACGAGGATGTATTAACTGTGCGGGTTAGTAGAATTTTATATTTTGAGGGTCGGGAGAACAGGTCTCTCCAGTTCTGTGATCTTGACTAAAATCTTCCCTCAATCCTGTTACTCTACACGGCTTTTATCGGCTAATCCCGATCTCTCACATTCGTATTAATTTTTAAGTGCCTTGCAAAGCCTTTGAATTTCTGTCAAATTGACAGTGGGCTAAAAAAAAGTGGTGCGGCTACAGTAGACTCGTCACAGGGTCGAGAAAAAATGTGGGCAATTTGTGTCAAGTCCAAATGAAATGATTTTTCACTTTTCTTATCGGAAACCACTTCTCTACGACAACATTTCCTGAATCTGGCATCCTAAAATCGCTAAATCGAATGTCTCTTAAATAATAACACTACCGAACCTTGCCCCTGATCTTTTCTTTAAAATCTCAAGTTCACCATCTCTTCAGTTAAGCCAAACTTTCCCATATTGAATTGACGGGATACTTATTCCCTCACTTAAGGGTACTGAAAAATTGCGAATTTTGATCCCACTTAAGGTGTTAACGACGTACAGCTGATAATCTTATCCGCAAGAGAGGACGAATTCATTCTCACTTACTAAGGGTTGCAAGAAGGAAAAAACCTCTGTCATATACTGTGTTCGAGTATAGTCGGTCTCTTTTAGGTGGGGTCAAATAAAGCCGGTAGAAGTCACTGTCTCGAGTATATTACCTTGATTTTTAATTGATCTGTTTACAGATAAAAGAGCAGCTTGTGCCGCACTTGGTGGCTATCTGAAATCATATCGTAGATCGTACACTTTTTTGGAATGTGATATCGAGTGCTGCACTGGTGATAATTGCAATGACGGAGGTAATAAATGAAAGCTAGAAAGAATTTTTATCTTGCTTAGCTGAAATACCCTTTCATGCATGACTTAAGTATAAGAAAGTTAAAGGTAATGAATTCTCGAGTAACTCTTTGTTACGAACCATACCGTAAATGATCGATTAAGCGCCGCGGAGCTTATTTAATTATCCCTGTTATAGGTGTGGCGATTGTACGAGAGCGGCGCTTATTTCAAGTACGGGTAGCACTGAGGGGAATATAGAAAGAATAAAGTGAGGCGTGTATTAGGTATGCACGATTCAATATAAAGTACACCTCGAATAGTTGGTTGAAAGTACTTGCCCTCGTTTATCAAACTCATTTCCCGGTGTTTGGATATCGGAAAAACACTTCTTGTGTTTGATATTCCTCCTCGGTGTTTAGATATCAGATGAAACACTCCTTCTGGTGTTTGATATATCACCTCTCGTTGTTTGGATATCAGACTGAAACACTCCTTTTCGTGTTTGATATTCCTTCTCGGTGTTTAGATATCAGGTGAAACACTCCTTCTGGTGTTTGATATATCACCTCTCGTTGTTTGGATATCAGACTGAAACACTCCTTTTCGTGTTTGATATTTCACTTCTCGGTGTTTGGATATCGGATGAAACACTCCCTCTCGTGTTTGATATATTACTTCTCGGTACGTGGAAATCGGAAAAAAAAACCACTTCTTCTCGTGTTTAATACAATGCATACCTAATTGTTTACACAGATAATGGTCCAGGACAGTGTATCGCGTGTACGGATTTCCAGGGTGGCCCAATCAGACCCTGCAGCTCTTCAACGCAAAGGAACCAAACGTGTTTGACGGGTCGCAGTTCCCTCGGCACAACTCATTGTGGTTCGGCAGCAGTGAAGTACCGTGGGGGCTTTTTTGATGGCATCAATATTGATATAATTCGAGGATGTTTTGACTGCACGGGTGGGTAAAAGTATTACTTTTAACAGTTTTATCCCAGAAAAAATAAATTATAAATAGAAACGGTCTAAAACTTGTAATTCTCACTAACAACAACTCTTGTTAGGGCCAAATAAGGTCAAAACAGCAAAAATTAAAATATAATGTTAAAATTAAATCAAACATAGTAGAGGGGTTGGGTAGGGGAAGAAGAGATAATTGTATCTACGCGTCAATGACTGCTACGATGATCACAATCTTTTCATTCAGATAAAAAAGCAGCCTGCTATTCTCTTGGAGGTTACCTGAAGCGTGAAGAACGCGACACATTGCTTGAGTGCGAAATTGAGTGTTGCAATAGCAGTAGATGTAACACGAAGAACTCATCTTTGACACAGGACGCGGTAACTGTGTTTACACCGGAAGGTATTATATTAAATATTTTCAAATTGTGTATTTTACAGAACCAGAGCTATGCGAGTTTACCGTGGACGTTTGTCATGTTTGGACCAAACCCGCTCGGTCTCTATCAGCCGTCAGCTGGAAAACGGATTAGCGATTGTCACATGTTCGCTTGTAGCCTCCCACGCAGACGTTCGTAGGGCTTCGTCACCCGTTCCTTGCCCACGAACGTCTGCAGGAGGGCGCGTCACGAAGCCCTAAGAACCTCTGCGTGGGAGGCTAGTTCGCTTGCGATCGTGTAGTCAAGGGTACAGTGCTGTACACATATGGCAGCGCTAGTCCCTTGTCCCTGTTTCGTAACGTTGGACTTAGGTACTAGTTTTTAACCCTCTCACTGCCAATTGTGGCTAAAGGCAAAATTGAGCAAAAATTCCCACATTTCATTTTGTAAAATTTTCAAAAGCAAATAGTACCATGTGAAATTACAGGCAGAGAGCTTTCATTTGAATGGTCACACCATAGGATTTCGTCCACAGATTAAAACGTTAGAGCCACCTTACAAAACTCCTCATTCACTCTGGCAGTAAAAGGTTTAATAGTCTCTCTCGTCTGACTTTACTTCTCCCCTTTTGCTATCGTATGGGCAGCCTCTGGACCTTCGCAATGCCAGGAATGTTTCGACGATACTGATGCAGAGTGCATTGAGAAACAAGACCCACAGGATTGTAGCCGAGATTCGCGTTCACTTGGAACAACCCACTGTGGCTACGCCAAGATAAAGTATGCGTCCAAATTTGGTATACGTGATAGGGTTTATAGAGGATGTATTAATTGCGCAGGTACGTTTAGTAGTATAAGTTTGAAAATACAATATTACAGGAACTGGAATAATAATAATAATAATAATAATAATAAGTAAATAATAATAATAATAATTTTTTTTAATTTTTTTTCAATAAAACAAAACTTTATTCATAGATTTAAAAAAAATAGACTATTTACAGATTCAAGAATATGAAATATTAAAATATATACCCTATGTACATTTTTCTTGTCTACGAAAGAGAATTGTTGTAAAATGACTATCTAAAGACTACTAATAACAATTATAAAAAGCATCAAAAAGTTGATAAAAAAAAATAAAAACTATTTAAAAATAATAATTCAAACTGATAAAAAGTTACTACTTAAATTCTGGCTTGCGCACTTTCCGATGTAATGTCAATGTCAGATATATTGGCTGCTCTTCTCTTGCTCCTGGTTCCTCTGAGACACAGCAAGGCTGATCGTAAGATGGCAAAGGATACTTTCGCCCTTATCCAAGATATGGTTGTAGCGTAGTCATCTCCTTTCTTTAACGCAAGTAGCTCTGCGAGGCGGCTATGGAATCTCTTGCATTCATCGGCCATTCCACCTGTAATAATAATAATAATAATAATAATAATAATAATAATAATAATAATAATAATAAGCTCCCTCCTGAACAAGAGTGGCTATGGATACAACACCCCCCATGGAAAAGATCAGCCACCTCTTCTACATGGATGACCTGAAGACCTACACGCAAAAAAAGACGACGAACAAACGGGCATGTTGAGAACCATCAAATCTTTCAGTGACGACATAATCAGGGATTTCGGATTGGACAAGTGCGCCAAGGCCACCTTCAAGAGAGGGCGACTAGCCGACTCCAGTAACATCGAGCTCGACGTCAACACCATCATACAGGACTTAGATCAGGAAGGTACCTATAAGTACCTAGGAGTCAGCGAGGGAAACGGAGTCCAGCACTCTCAGATGAAAGAGAAGATCCGGAAAAAGTACTACTGCAGGATGCGGATGGAACTCCGCAAACAAACTGGAAGCCATCAACACCCTGGCAGTACCGGTGGTAACTTACAGTTTTAACGTCATAAACTGGACGTTACAAGAGCTGGCCAAACTTGATACAAAGACTAGAAAGTCCCTGACAATGTACAAGATGCACCACCCCAAATCTGACGTGGACAGGCTTTACCTGCCCAGAACTGAAGGAGGTAGAGGGCTCATACAACTGGAGTTTTCCTACAAGTCAACCACTATCGGTCTTGATAAATACCTCCAGGAGACGCAGGACACCCTCCTCCACTTTGTTAAAGACCATGACGACAGGAAATCCTTGTACTCCATCAGCAGACATCATCTGGTTATGTAACATATTCCCCTAAAAAGAACAAAGGGTACCAAGGAAAGTGAAAAATAAGGCGATAAAGAGCCTCAGCTTTAACACAGACTTTCTTAAACATTTCTTTGACGTGACAAATAAGTTAAATCTTAATCTAAATCAACACCTATGATCTAACTGCCTTTACTACTCGATACAGTTTCTGACATCATTTTGGCACGTTCTGTTCATTTCTTTATGACAACTTTAATGGGTGCCAAAAAACTATCCAAGAAAGTTTGGTTAAATTATTATGACCCCATGACCACATTTCGAAACCATAGAAACCTATTGTCACCATATCTTGGTAAAAAGTAATAAACAAACAGCTGCGATCGAAAAACTGGCACAAATGGTTTTGACATTAGTCGGAGAAAGAAGCTTAATAACGTTACTAAAACTGCATTCGGTGGGTACATATCATGAAGATGTAGCTTGCAAAAGATACATTTATTACTGACTTCATTGTTTTCAGATAAAAAGGCAGCCTGTGCAATTATAAGTGGCTACATTAAATCACGCAAGAATGGCCTCTTGCTGACATGTGATATCCAATGTTGCACAAGTAACAACTGTAACGATGCAGGTAATGTATGACGCGTTTCGATCCGGGGGAACCCTATTTTAGCCTATGCAGAGAGGATCCCCCCTCCCCAAAAGGAGAAAAGAAAGGGAAATCTGCCATTTCAGTCTGTAAAAAGGCCCAAAAGGACTGAAAGATGCATTTTAAGGCTGTGAAAATGCTCAAAAATGACGAACCCTTATATAGTTAAATGAAGGACAATGTCACTTTAACTCAGCTTGTACTCCGGTCCACTTATTAACAGTGTCAAGTCAAAGGCCTCTCCCAACTAAATTAATTAAATTTAAAAAGGTGGTCTTGAAGACACTAGAGTATCCCTCACCACCAAAAACTGAGCCAACTGAGCTCGTCGAAAGGTTCATTACTTGCCTCTTTTCGCTGATATGTCAGATAATATGAACTTTTCCCTAACAGCTGCCGGTCTACCGACATGTACTTATTGCGTGGATACTTGCTCTAACAAGGATCCTCCCCAAGCCTGTTCCCTAAATCCAAGTTTTGGTTCGCTTGGGACGACTCACTGTGGCTCTGTAGTAGGTAGTTATCGGGATCGCTCCGGAAATGTTAAGGATTTGGCATATCGAGGATGTTTTGACTGCGCCGGTAAGTTAACAGCCAGTTTTCACCACACTGAGGCTTAGGGCCAAGGCTCTCTCCTGGGAACGAGGTCGTCGAATCAAGTCACTAAGCAGTTTGACGTCACAGAACTTAGTTTTTTTCTTGAACTTTCGCTGGTTAACTTAAACGCAGGTGTATTTTCACCTTGTTTTCTCCAACCCCGACTTTAGGGCAACATTTGCAAAAACGAGCACCTAAAGGCGTTTTGAAGAGCCAATTTTTAGGAAACTAGAGCAACTTTTATTTTCCCTAATGGCGAGAGTGTAGAGCCGGGTTTTGAAGCCACGCTTTACCAGCTGTGTGATTTGCCCATGCGTGATTCTTGTTAGGGACAAGCACTTACAAGAATTTGCCCATAAATTGGACTTAACAAGTTAAAAACGACTTATTAAAAGTCAGGCCCCTGTTGTTCAAAAGTTGGATAGCGCTATCCAACGGATAAATCGCTGTCAAGTGGATAAGTTTATTAAGAAAACTGATTGCGTTATCCGGTGGATATTCATTTATCTAGTTGATAGCACTATACACCTTTCCAACACACTGGGGCCAGAATTTCAGTTTCCGAGGTTCTCTTTCAACCTGTTAGGTTGCTTCTGCAACTTGAGAGGATCTACCCTGGGTACCAGAGGTTTTTTCTTGCGTGCGACGAGGAGCTTTCGCCGAGTGTCGGCCGACCAAAACCGGAAACCGCTCATGAAAAGTCTCTGGCACCCAGGGTAGCGAGGATCACATCCAAAGTTAAGAACATTCCTGACAGAATCTCCTTAAGAATTTTTAGACGGATGAAAGAAGGGAAAATTACTCAAATGGCCATTTCCGAGTTCCCCAGGGTCTCTGTATCAAAACGAGGTTAGGTGCGAAACCTTTGATACGGAAATGATTTTTCATTCTCATGCAAGTAAAACTCATTTCCTCAAGAAATGTTGAGCACCTAACCTCGTTTTGATACAGAGGCCCGGGGAGACTCGGAAATGGCCTATTAGCGCCTGTTTACATGGAGGTGGGGGACCCCAGGTAGGTGAGGTAACCCGCTTAGGTGAGGTAAAAAAATAACCCTCCTTTACATGCAATCTTACAACCCCGCCTTCCCGGGGTGCACTTTCTCAAGATTATTGAATGGTCGCTAAGCACGTAAACAAGAAAAATGCTGGCAAGCCACGAGTTTTGGCGATTAATGCACTTCTTCACTCACTTGTTGCTCTTGCTGCAACCCGTCAGTGCAATAGCTTTCTGTTGTTAACTTTAATCATAATGCAAAGACACCGCGAAAGTGAATTTTGCGCGAATTTGATGTATCACGAATCCGACCCCGGCCAGGCGGGTTACCCCACCTTGAAACGTTTACATGACAAATTGTGACCCCGGCTGAGAGGGTAACCCGGTCTGGTAGACCGGGCTACCCGCCTTGGCGGGTCACCCCACCTATCATGTAAACGTGATCAAATGAAAATGAGAGATTATATGGACAGGCGGGTTACCCCACCTAAGCGGGTTACCTCACCTACCTGGGGTCCCCCGCCTCCATGTAAACAGGCCCTTAAGCTACATGAAACTGGTATTGTTGATATTGTTGCTTTCAAAGAGAAGTTATGCAGCCCACGCTGCATTAAAATGTTCCACTTCAGAGCGCCAGTTTACGTCGGTAAGTGTCTATATTCTTATCGCTGCCTTAAGAAAACCAAGTGACATTTCTTAATCAGATAAAAAAGCGGCTTGTTTTGCTCTTGGTGGTTACTTGAAAATGGCAGAATCAGAGACTTTGTTGGAATGTGAGATCGACTGCTGCACTGGGAAGAACTGCAACACACAAATACCGACCGGATCGCCATCAGCCAATGCAGTCAAAGTATTTACAACAGCAGGTAATTAGACGAAGGATGTTCTATTTTTCAAGTATCGCATTAGAGAAAAAAGGAGGTAGAGGTGAATACTAAACGCATTATTTAATTTATTCAAAGGCATTCCATCTCGTTAATGGAGGACAGAGTTTCGCAGGTTAAGCGGTTTAATTTTAAGTGAGTTTGGCCTTTTTTGGAAGTGTACTTTTCAAGTGCGTTTGTTGTTCACTACCTACCATGCCACTACTAGTACAGACTATTACTACTAATAATAATAACTAGAAATAAGTGACTCGCCGAGCCTCGCGAAGCAGAGGCTAAAGGCCTAAAGTAAGAAGAAAGGAAAAGAGGCCGATAGGGAAAGGAAACTTTATTTATATATATAAAAAACAAAACAAGAACGAAAAAAAAAATTGAGAAGGAGAGAGGTAGTAGATCAGGAATCGAACGGGTTACTCCGCGCCTCCAGATTGGCGCGATTTCTCCTTACCACTGCTCTACTGAGGATTACGATATAAGGACTAGTAAAAGTATTTGATTTAAACCCTTTTCCATGGAACTTCCGCCAGCAGCAAAGGCAGTTTAAAGCTTATCAAGCCGTATTAAACACGAATTCAAAGATATATTCCAGCAAAATAACCGAGATATTGACAGTCAAAAATGAATTTTGTCTACGGAGTAGGACGCAAAACATGTTTTCTTTTCCTGATTTCCGAAGTTATTTTGAAGTTAATTGTCCAAATGACATCCATTTTCTGTTAAAGGTACGAAATTTATCATAGAAGGCATTTCTTGTCTTCTTAAATGGCGGCTAAAGCAACCGGGCAAGTTTTGTGGCGGTTTTGATTACATGCTGCCCTTTTGCTAGGCACCTAAGTTCGCCCAAACCGATAGAGAGAGAGAGAGAGAGAGAGAGAGAAATTTTTGACCAAAGCAAGATCACGATCACGCCTCGCTTAGAGATTGTTGTGCGCGTTGCCGCGCCCTGCATGCGCTACAAATTTATAAACTCGCTTCGAATTCGCTCGCGGAGTTACGGCCACTCGCTTCGCGAGAATAACCATGATAATAAAAGAGACGAATAAGAAAGAAAACATGAAAAAGTAAAAATAAATGAACACTATTCACCTGCGAGCCAACCAAGGGCTAGTCAGGCACAAGGCTCTGTTTACTTTATGTAGTGCATAGCAAAGAGGATTGTAGTTCGTAAAAAACTGAAGTAATGTAATCTGTCCAATTTGGTAGAGGAAAGAGAGATAGAAAAGGCGCATGAGAAAAGGGAGAAAGTAGTCTGGATATATTGGTAGGAGACTTAGGCTATGCTCACACTATATCGCAGAGCTTTTTTGCCGGCTTGAAAACCACACCGGCTATGGCTTCTGTTCTGTTAAAAACGATGATTTCGGAGCGATATCTCTTAACTGAGCGAAGCTGCACCGCGCCGATCTCGAAAAAAGAGACTGACTCACATATTAGATAGGTGTTCATAATATACCGAATAGACCTTTCGCGTCGACACGAAATGCTATCCCGTATAGCGTGAAGATAGCTGTAGTGTGAATGAGTTACCATATATAGATCGTTTTCACTGTCACGCAACAAAAAAATAAATTGTAAACCGTCCAGTAGAAGAAAAGAAAATGAAATGTTATGAAAGACTAGTATTTAAACAATTTGTCCAAGTCTCAGGGTCTTTGTAGCCCACAGTTTCAGTTTTCACGTTCCTTTGTAGAGCTTAGTATGGAGACGCCATACTGGTGTACCGTTTTGGTGCACCAATATGGCCGCCGGAAATCAACAAAAACATCTAGAGTTCACTTTTTCCATAAAAGCTCTTTCTTTTCATTCGAGAACTAGCATACGTGCACATAAACGTATCTTCTAATTCTTGAAATGGTTATACTGCTGAAAATCAAGAGAACAGACTTTTTGTCAATGAGACAGCTTTCCAATTTTGGTGTCACGCACTGGGAAAACTCGGAAGTTCAAATTGCTGTATTTTCGAAATGAAACATGCTACAGGACTAGAAACTTGTACAAAGATTTGTTTTTTGTTTATCTTCAACCTAGTGTAGATAAGAATGCGTAAAACCTCGCTATTTTGACTTTACAATTTGATGACGTCACTGTGAAAACCATCTATTGGTAATCAAAAAAGGTTACGCCTCGAGTGATCTTACCTTTTACCTTAAAATATATTAACTCTCTCTCCCTTTCTTCCCCCCCCCCTCTCTCTCTCCAATTTCCAACGCTCGTCCCTTATTCTTCATTAGTGATTAATAGTTGACGGTCGCGTTTTGTTTTCTATGTTTTTTCATTCTTTTAGCTTCTGGTCCGAAACAGTGTTTTTTATGTCTGGGAACTAATGCGGCCAGCTGCTCGCGCTCAAAGAGTCGGAGGACCCAGATTTGCGCCACTGATTCATTGTCACTCGGTACTTCTCACTGTGGTGCTGCAGTGGGTAAATATCAGGATAGCAAAGGAAATATCGTGGATACCTTTGTTCGGGGATGCATTAACTGTGCTGGTAGGAAAATAATTTTACCCTTTGCCTAGAATGATTGTTGTTACGCTAATTATTCTGATTAATTCGAGACTTGAAACTCGTTAATTAAAATAAGTTCGCATATTGAGAATGGCTTTACAATGGCGCTGAAACATAGATTTTTTTTACACTCTTTTTTTACTCGACCGATGATGTGTGAGAATATTCCAATATTGGCGATGCAATAGACAAAACGTTTTTTTTGGACAGGAATTATATTTACAGTTGACTCTCTCTTAACAAATTTTAAACTTAAAACAGTAAACTGATCCTTACGGCAGGAAAAGTGATAGAAAAAATAAAGAAAGAAAACAAAAATAAAGTGGTGAATTATATTTGGGCAAATATAATTATAATATTCCAATTTTGGCAATGAAATAGACAAAACGTTTTTTTGGACAGGAATTATATTTACAGTTGACTCTCTCTTAACAAATTTTAAACTTAAAACAGTTAACTGATCCTTACGGCAGGAAAAGTGATAGAAAATATAAAGAAAGAAAACAAAAATAAAGTGGTGAATTTTTTTTGGGCAAATATAATTCACCCCTTTCTTTTTGTTTTCTTTCTTTATTTTTTTCTATCACTTTTCCTGTCGTAAGGATCAGTTAACTGTTTTAAGTTTAAAATTTGGTACTAAAGATTTTACTGATCCAGGTCTAAAGATCCGGCTGACCCTCACTAGTTTGTGGTTGTGGTTTTGCCTTCACGAGTGTTTCTCTTTTAACAGATACCCCTAGCTATAAGACGGTATCGCTGTAAAACGGACAAATAAAGGGGGTAAAGAAAGGTAGGGACCAACTCTAGGTGTCCGTTTTACAGCGATACCGTCTTATAGCTAGGGGTATCTGTTAAGAGAGAAACACTCGTGAAGGCAAAACCACAACCACAAACTAGTGAGGGTCAGCCAGATCTTTAGACCTGGATCAGTAAAATCTTTAGTACCAAATGAGAGGGACATCTCTATGAGAGGGACATCTCTCAAAAGGTTGCATATTTTCCACTGACGCGTTTTCGGCTACGCACGTTAACGCACGTAAATTTTAATCCATGACGTAAATAATATAGAGGCAAGATAAAATGTGCTGCGCTTAAACGAGAAGTTGAGCGACGTTCAACCTTTTACGCTTACGAGCGACCTTCCATACATTGTCTCTATTTTATTCACCCGCGTAAAATTTACGTGTGTAAAACGCACGGAAAAAATACGCGACAGTGGAAATCCAACCTAAGACGGACACTATAAAGTGTCCTCCTTAGAAGGAGTTGGCTGTAGCTAATTAATTAAGGTTGGGAGACAGGAGTTTCTCACACTGAAGGCACAAGCTAAAACAAATATAAAAAGATTTTTGGTATTATTCCCTTTTAATAAATTCAACAGAAGTCTACTTTTTTTTCTCTTTTGACCGATGATTACAGATAAGAAAGCGGCTTGTGCGGCTGTGGGCGGTTTTTTTAAGGGAGACAGAAGGCAAAGGTTGACCCAGCTGGAATGCGCAGTCGAGTGTTGCACCAGTGATGACTGTAACAAAGACATCATTCCAGTCTTACAAACAGGTACTTTGTACGTGTAACTGAAACTTTTTGAAACGCGTCTACGGTAATATAAAGATTAACTGAAAAACAATAAATAAACAAATAAACCGCGTGTAACAGAGCATTTTGGACCTTCTACTAGTTGTTTGGCTGTTTGTACCGAGGCACTCTTCCAAGTTGTTTTTTTTTATGCCTTCCTTAAATAAACAGATTTTATAGGAGAATTTAGACTCAAAAATGAGGAGTTTTTTTTGTCAGAAATACAAGACGTCATAATGCACTATTTCGTTATTTCTTCAAGTTTTGGGTAAATTTTGCTCGGCCATTGATGAGGTAAGCGTTCAGCTAAAAGCTTAAAGTTCAGCTGCTCTATGCATGTATTTCTCGGAATAAAAAAGAAAATTAGAAAAGATGGTTGTTTCAGTGAAATAACGTCACTTTTGAACCATGCCTAGGCTTAGCCGAGGCTACGAGTTATATTTATCCGTTACGCTAAAATAAATTTTTTTCAGGAATCAGTCCATCGCCATCATCAAGTTCCGCAAACAGTGGTCCATCACCAAGTTCTGTTGCTAGCAGAGAAGGGCACTGGGGCATGATAAGAGCTTTGCTCTTCTCAACTACAGCTCTTTTTGCCTTTTATCAATTTTAGCAGGTGCGGTAGCACACAAAAGCCTTAAAGCTAAACGTATTCACCCACTAAACTTCAACATAAATTGTAAAACGACACCTTTCTGGCAAATATAGTCCTTTCTCGCTTGAAACGTAAGCACCAGAGCCTTTAAATCCGGCCGTCTTTTCGTGCGCTGCCCCAAAGGATTCAGTTTTTGGTCACTGTCGCGTGTCTCCATACGTAGAACTAAGTGGAGCAATACTCGATCTAAAATGATGTATAATCGCATAAGAGTATTTTAACACTGAGCTATAGGGTGTTTTAACTAACCCTACCTCTAATTATAGCACTCTGTGTACAGTTGTCATTAAACAAACCTGTTATTTCACGGAAACACCGCTTGCCTCATTTTAAACTTAAAAAATAAACCACCTCGTTCCCAGCGATTCTCGATCCAGGAGAAGAGAAGAAGAAAGGTCCTGGGTACGAGGTAGTAAATATCTAACGAAAATATTTACTCGAAAAAGAAGCCCCCCACCCCCCGAAGATTTTCATTGAAATCTTCCTCTTCACTAAGACTACTCGATGCACGCAGAATTCTCGAGTACGACAAGATCGAGCATGCGAGGAAAGGGGAGCAAGACAGCAGGTTGTTGGATTTCCGCCGGGCAAAGTGAGTGCAGACGCGAAAACCGAAAGATTCTTCAGCGTTATGATTGGATTTCCGCTAGGCTATTTCGAAGAGACAGTTGAAGTTAATCAAATTTAGTAATGCGTTTGCCAAAGATTATCATAAATTTAAAAGAGAAAGTTTGTTTTAGCTAATATTCTCGCACTCGAACAAAGAGATAATCTCCTTGTCTTTAATTTAAAAGCTTTGCATTCGAAGGGATGACAACAGCTTATTTTGTGTGTTTTTCTGGAATAATAATATAATAATAATAAGAAGAAATAAACAGATTAGTCAGGGGCACCCAATGACGGTTTCCTCCTAAATGCATTGAAGTCGTTTTAGGTTATCCACAGTACTTTTAGATCTCTAGAAATGCATTCTAAACGGCGCTATAAAATTTGTATCTGGCCGGTCATCCTGGGGGAATTTTTGGAAATTACAAGAGCTTCAGTGAGATGTTTCCGAAAATTTTAGATGCAGTTGAACAACGTTTTGCGAAAGTGAGAATTTTTCTTGTTCCTCTCTCCATCACATTTTTGAATCCGAAAATTTTAGGTTTCCTACGAAAATTATCTTGGCTAACATAAGGAGTAAAATATGAAAAATTAAACTTCAGAAAATCTTAGGGAATTGTTTAGATAAGCTTCGAAAATTGTACCTGAATGGAAAGCTCATCTAGAAATTTTTAGCCATATTCAAGCAATAGAAAATTCTTGGCAATCGTGCTTTTCCGAACAGATCTTTTACAGAAAATATTCGTTGGGTGCCCCTCATCATTTGTATTGTGAATTCGGAGAGATTTAGATCAAGGGCAAACTGAGCTAAAGCATTCGCTCATGAGACCTAACAGTATTCTGTGCGGCAAAAAGGTCGCTGAAACATTTAGATTATCAACCTTTCGTAAAACAAAAAGAATTACAGGAGTTTATTAAATCAACTGAGTTACCCTACGATAAGAGCGTGATCATGTTCCAGTTGACAAACTATTTTGCGTTCCCTACATATGAACAACCAAAGAAACCAACACGCGATCTATGAAGCCCAAGAAAGTACACTTTATTGGTAAGAAATACAAAAATAAAAATAAAAATACGAGAACACCACAGCCGGACACGTAAACCCCGAAAAACCAATTTTCGAAAAAATGGGGACCGTGTACCCCCGATCAGTGCTATGGCGATGCCTTCGGGGTTTTAAGGCCAACTAGCTTAAATAAATAAGTAAAGTATAGTAAATAAAATGAATAAGTTAATAGAAGTAACCTCTTAGCTTTGCTAGGATAAAAGAAAAGAAAAATCCGTTTGCCCGCTGAGCTGTTGAGTCGGCAAGGCTGAGACCAGAACAGGGCGACTTAATCATCTCACGACTGCCGCCTTAATCTCTGTTTTTGTGCCTGCAGAACTAAACTAAATTATGTTTACTGAACCAACGTAAAGGTTTGAAAGCTATGATTCCGTGCCTTCACTCGGCAGATAGCAACAATAACGTTTTAAATTTTGTTTCCTCAGACAAATTCAGTTCAGGCAAAACACTTCCTTGGAACCTCTTAAAATCTTCATGCATTATAAAGTTATTGCTGGTTATATTACATGTTAAGCTATGAAATCAGCGAAGTCAGTGGCATTAATTAAGAAGAATTCAGAAGTTCCAAGTTGCGCTGTTACGTTCGTGGTCGAATTGATAAATTATACATCTCTCTAAATCTTGCCAATTGTAAAATAGCTTTCTCACTTTACCTCATGGCTCTGCATTCACTACATTATTGCCCTTATTCCGTGTTCATCTAGCACGAAACTAATACTGATTAGAACAAATAAAATACGGATTTTTTAAATCTTTTTGCTCTAACATCCTTTTAAGAATACCAAACCTAATTTTTAAATACTATCTTGCTTTCTATTTCGTAAAATCCTAAACAATGATTGTTGCTACAAGGAAGTAGTGCTGAAAAAGTCTTATTTCCATGGTGACACCATAGGGTTTGCTGAACAAACTCTGAGGTAACAACCACAATTTCTTCATTTTCATCATTGCTTTGAACGAGTTCAGTTTGTACCGAACGCGCGTTAAACCGTTATGATTCATCGACCAAAAATAATGTTACTACTCCTTCCTCAGAACATATAGGTCCAAATTCAAACTCGCTGCTGTTCTCTCTCGCCGGTTTACAAAGTAAAATATATGGGATAAAGGCGTAGTAGAAGAACAAACTGTCAAGTTTTAAACCTTATAAAATTGGCTGAATCCGTTTTCTATAACGATCAGCGTTTGCTGTCGAAACTGTAGGGGACAGCAGTGCGAAAAGAAGTCTGTTTAAACATGGGCCTTATTTAAATATTATAAACGGGCGGTCTATGGTAGTTTAAAGTTCATCTTTGCTTGGTTTCTCTTCCACGTAGGAAGTACATCCAAAATCTTTCTCCAATATGATATATGGACTCTTGAATTGCACTCTTTTCCTCATGGGTGCTGTTGGGACAAAACAGTTTGGAATTACCTTTTTTAAATTTTTGAACAAGAATCTCAGGTTTATTTTACTGTAGCTGCAAAGTATTTTCCTGGTGTATTTATATAGCCTTAAATTTATCATAGGGGCAGGTGCGTGTCTTCAATGTCTATTCCCACCTCTATTTTGTTTGGTATGCCGCAATTGAATTAAGCAAAAATAATCCATTTTAATTTATGGAATTTGAAACGCATGGTATCTTATTCCAGAATGCGTTTTCTGTTCATCCTTTGCAGTTCTCAAACTCATTAATAATTCATAAAGAAAATACAAAGGAAATTAATGTTTAATGAGTGTTTGGGAATAAGATGAAAAACTGCTAATTAAAGTGTATTGCATCCTTAATTTCTTTTTCTAAAATCATAAGCTATTGAAGAAGGAAAAAGGTAAGTGTCTGGTGCTCACCAGGTGAAGACGCCATGGCCATTTACTGAGCTGTGGAATTTCTTGATCTGAGTACAAGAACATAAGCATCATCATCATCATCATCAACGTTAGCGTCATCAACTAAATCGTCAGCATCCGTCGTTGTTATCAGCATCATAATCACCATCATCATTATCACCATCGTCATCACCATCGCCAGCATCATCGTCATCGTCTTGAACATAATCGTCAGCATCCGCCTTTTCATATCATCATTATTATCATCATCGTCATCTTCATCATCGTCGTCATCATCATCGTCATTAATAGCGTCATCAACATCATCGTCAGCATTTTAAGCAATCTTTGTCATCATCTTCATCTTCATCGTAGTGTGCATCAGTCCTTCTCAGAGCATCAGCATCATGAAAATCTTTATCATTGTCAGCATAACTCAGCACCACCACCATCATCATTGCCATTATCATCGTCGTCCTCGTCATCATCATCGTTAATGTTACTGACAGTCATCAGTCGTCAAGCCCTCTTCACACCGCGATGCCACATCAGGCTGCTTAGCTTGTCGACGATCACTGCCTCTAAATCCCTCAAGACAAAGTAAAGAACACACGTTTATCTGAACTTACTATCAAATATTACTAGCCCCCTCCACCTCCAAACCCCCCCTCCCCCCAACCAATCCTTCAGCGGGTCCTTGCATTTAATAAGCTATGATAACAAAATAGCAAAGACAAAAGCTGTACTGCATTTCCAGATATTTCAGATAGTCAGGTCGTGCTTATATAGTATGAAAGCAGCTCAGTTGAAAATTTGGTACAATTTTTAAAAACTTAAAAATAATACAGGCCAATAAGGATAA